ATTGTGAATAATTATTTATTTGCTTGAGTTATTTCTTTTATGGGAAATCTTTTCCCCATCTTTATCATCTTTTATGGGAAACCTACACAAAATCTAAGCAGCATGCATAAATGTATGAAATTACCACCTAAAATTCACAAACAACCTGTCAGTTATATAACTTCAAAATGCAGCAGGCCGAGAGATAGAAAAGGTGTTAATTTCATTTTTTTAAGGGTCTGGATTAATAATGAATTTCTGTTGTGAACATTTGACATAGTGTAAATTTGAAAAGGAGAATTCGTTGATCTATACATGCCAAAGCATCCAAATAAGTGATGAATTTGCAACTGAATTTCATCTACAATTGAATTTCACCCATAATTGAAATAGCTTCAGCATTTTAAAACATTATTTTTGGATCTTATTGCTGTGCAAGCACACTTTTATTATAGTTTTCAACACATAATTTTAATATGCAGTATCTCAAAGTAAGAAGTTATATTTTAGTGTTGTTCTTGTTATTATAGAAGAAAAGAGGAGAGGAGTTACAGATATGAAAAACGCTGAGAAAAGTGATGTATGACAATGGCATAGGGAAACTTAAGTCAGTCATTGGCAATGTTTCTTGTTCTTTAAATACATGGGCAGAAGTGATCCAGTAAATATTGTTTTCCAAAAGGCTTCCTACGAAGTCCCTCACCAAAAACTCCTAAGCAAACTTAGCAGTCACTGAATGAAAGAAAGTGTCCTTTTATGGATCACTAACTGGTTGAAGAAAGAAGAGAGTAAGAATTAAAGGTAGGTTATCCCAGCTGAGGCCTGTAAACAGGGGGATCCCACAGGGATCTGTATCAGAATCACTACTTTTCTACTTTTTAAAAAATATTTTGGAATTAGGAGTGAGCAGCAAAGTAGCCAAGTTTGCTGATGATACCAAATTATTTTAGATGACTAAAACCAAAAGGGAATGTGAGGAATTCGAAATTGAGAGGATGGGCATCACAATGGCAAAGGGGGTTCTATATAAGCAGGTATAAAGTAATGCATGTTTGGGCAAAAAAAAAAATCCATCTTCAAATATAATACAATGGGATCTGAACAATATAATATTGCTATAAATAATATTTATATTTTATTTATATTAAATATGAGTGACTGGCCAAGAAAGAGATTTTGGGGTTGTGGTGAATGCCATAACAAACAAGAAATTATCCGTTTAAAATTTCATTTACAATCTGTTCATTTTAAGTGCTTTATACATAATGGGTGACATCTAGCATTGTATATAATGGGCTTCCACTTCCTCTTCTACCCTCAGATCTTTATGCTCTGGAGTTCTCTACAAATGTTAAGGGAAGGGGGAAAGGGGATATCCACTGGCATATGGATAATCTTATTATTTCACTCCAAATATAAGAAGGGCAATAAAGTTATGGGGGGGGGTGTTTTCCAGCCACAGCATAGAACATAGACTTGTTCACATTTTGATTAGGTTTTTTTTAACCAGGCCATATACTGTTTTCTTTCGATATTAGACATTTTTATACAAATAGAAAAAAAGTTGTTGACTTTTCTTGGACAATTATTGGCTATGCTGCATGCATTTCATAGCTTTGCAATCCAGTGCCCCTGTCCTTGATGCAAGCCCTCAAACAGACACCAGGCATGTCCAGGACAAGGTGAGATGCGTGGCAGCAGTGATGGCTGCCACCATGCACCTCACATCTCCAGTGTACTGGGGAGGGGAAGAGAAGAAGGCTGGGTGTCACTTAGATGCAGCATAAGCAACTGGCCCCTCCTGCTTCCCCTCTTCACTCACCCCAGCAAGCCCTTTTTTCACCCTTTGAAATCCAGTTTCTGACCTTGGAGAAGCAGAAGGCTTCTGTGCTTGGCCTTTTGGGTCCCATCCTTGAGGTTGCAGGGCTTTGGAACAGGGAGCCTGAATAATCCTAAAGCCTTGTGAATAATATTGAGAGGGAATAGGATTGTGCCCTTAGTTACAATGAAAGAGGCATTTTTGAAAAGCCTACTTCTGAAAATGCTCATACATTTATGCACAAAGTTTGCAGACCAGCATACACGTCAGTTTGTGCTATGCCCAACAAACTTTTCAGTTCAGATCCTAGCATTGTTATATCAGCAAGCATTCTGTTCCAAATGCTGCCCTGTCCTGCCAGTTTAAATGGGAGATACACATGCTTAAGTTTTTGTGGACTATTTCTAATGGAATTATCTATTTTCCATAAGCAAATGGAATTCACAGTATTGTTTAATATTTGATTTATAACATTTTATGAAAGTGGAGGTCCAAATGGACACAGATATATTTAAAATGAGAGAGAGAATAAAGGTACTAATCATATGTGCATTTACTTGAGTAAGATAGTAAAACTAGATATTACCAAAGTATAACACATACATTTGTGCTTTGCATAACCTTAATTAAAATATGTGGCCACTATATTAAAACATCGGATGTACGTAAGTTGCCAACTCTCCTTTAATTTTAATATGGTTGGTGGGCATCCTTTGGATACAATCAAACATGCAGGTGTATGGAAATTATGGGCAGAGATTCAGCCAACTGGTATGCAATTGGGGCCATCATGTATTGAAAATGTGTTGCCCTGCATGATTTATATTATACTATCTGTTTGGTTCAAAGAGTTCTGTGGGTCGATATGAAATTTGAAAAAGATGTGTTGTATTATCAGCATACTCACATCAATTTTCTAAGCTCTTATTAAATATATTGAGTAAATGCATGCTTGAATCTAAGTCCACTGGGTTCATCCAAATTATACCAATGAGGTATTCATCCTGTTCTTTGTATTATAATGTTACCCAGCTTTTCTGTATTTTATGCTGGAAATTTAAGTACCTTGTGTATCCTTAAACTAATCAGAATAAGAAGCCACTTTCCTGTGCCAAAGAAATAGAACTATCGTTTTTCACATTCTTATACTTTACAGCAAGTTTCAACTAAGATTATGTTACTGTGACTTCTGAATTCCTGAAAGTTCTCTTGTCTTTGTAGCTGTAAAGGCCCTCCTGAGCATTTCAAAGGAAAAATGTGAAGCCTTTTCCTCAGTATGTTTTGTGTTGTACATACCAAATACAGTTCACATTTTGTGTGCATGTGATTAGAGCTGAAAAAATAATAATGCAGTCCAGTATTATGATTTATTGACTGAATCCTTTTCCTGCTGAATCTTTGCCAAAAGTGAAAGCTTTTTCCCCTTGCATATTAGAAACAGCTACTGTTTTTGTTGATCTTTTTAACTTCTGAATAGGCCTATTTCAAGTCATACCAGCATGAGATCTCAGATTAATAATATACATATTCAGTCAGTATTACAGAGTAAAACCAGTGCTAGTATAGCAAATGAAAGTTATAATTTCTTCAAATTATTTTCAGGTGCATTTGTGAACAGTGAATATGAAAGATTTAAAGCATATTTTTCATAGAAACTTCATATTTTTGCTTATGTCTCATGTTACAAATGAAAAAATGAAGTTTAATATGGCTTGATTTGTTAAAGCCTATATCTGTACCAGTGCTTTGTTTTGTTTTGTTTGTTTCCTGCTGTCTCCGTGTGGTTCAGTTGGGTGTCCCATGTTTATGCATTTCCCAATTAATTATCCCAGTTTGGAGTTGGGTTTTGTTGGTTTGCTTGCTTCAGTTAATTCCATGAACTCCTGCAGAAAAACATGTTATGGGAGTGCCAGAAAGGACAGGCGGTGTTATTGAGTTTTGTTTGTGAGAATGCAGAAGAATGAGGAGACAGATAGCATAATATGACATAACATGGTGGACTTTGTGATCATCAGAAAGAATTTTTTTAAATAAAGAGAAATTCGCAAAGGAAAGGTAGGAAGTCTAGAACAAACATCAGAATAAATGGCTCTGCCGTTGATACATGAAACTGCATAAAATGTGGGGCATAAGGCTCTATTCTAGATTCAGATACAACATCATGTTTCCTGCCCCTTAACTTTGTTTATAACTTGTTGGTAAGCTGGGATCACAGGCTAACAGTGTGTGATGCAATTTGTAAGACAGAGCTAGTTCTGCAACTGTTGAGGCACTGAATGCTCATCATTATGAGATATAGAATGGACTGATGCTGCTTAAATAACCTAATGATTAAATATGTAATATAATATCTACTATGTGATTCTTCATCCCTGAATTTTATTTCATATCCATGCTTGCCTTATATAGCTCAGTATCTGACTCCTGCATCCAGTGTTAGAGTTACCTAGAGTAGACCCATTTAAAGGAATGAGTTAGACTAACATTAGATGCAGCCCACTGGATAGAATCCTTGCACTGTCCATTGAAATTGTTAGTTGAATATATAATTATAGAAGGTCTGAAAAAACAGGATAACCTGGTTAAGTCCAGCAGATACCTACTGTAGTTTGACGTGTTTCAAAAAGGAAAAACAAGTTTGATAAAAGCTTCAGCGATCTAACACAGCGGCCCTGGGAGCACCCTTCTCCATCTGAACATTCCAGGCAATGCAAACTGAGCTGCTAGAAGAGCGATATCAGGAAAATTAGGCTTGAATTGCAGGGCTGTATTTATGAGGATTATTGAATCACCACATTACTTACTCTTTTGCTCCCTTGATGTGAAGGCTAGATTGTTGTCTTCAGATCTACAGGAAATTTCACATGCTATGACTACTTGTAAGATAGCATATCTTTGTAGGAGGAAAAGACTCAAAGATAAAGTGTTTTGCAATAGCAGCTGTCAAAATAAGGTCAGCAAAGCCAAGTCCAAAACTGACCTGTGAAGATATCTCTTGTCATTTTACGTGTCCCATATGTTCTGAAATTCTAATTTCTGCTATTGAGGAATTATGCCAACACTTAGATATGGTTTATTTCTCCCAGCATGTCCTTGTTCTGTCTTGCTATGGCCTGTAGCTAATACATTTTAATAAGCATAGTACAGAACTACAAAGGGTAGCACCACCACTGTTCACTGTACTTTGCTCCTTTGTTTACAGTTGCAGCAAGCCTCTGAGGTTTCCCAAATGAGGGGAGCAAGAGTTATCTCACCAGAAGATCTTATTTTTCTGATGCGCAAAGATAAGGTATAGTGGTTAAAATTGTGTTGCGTATGTGGCAGTTATAAAGTGCTAAGTTTAAAACAAGCTCTTTATAAACAGAACTGCTTTTTTTCAACTTTGTTTCCTATGCCTCACTTGATTATTCTTCACATCACATTTTTCCTTTCATATAGTTAAAGGATTGTATTTTATTTTTCTTTTAATTACATTTCAGTACCACCAAGCAGCTCTTAAAGCAAGTGTAAATGGAAGCCTATCAAGCAGCAGAATTTTCTCCTTGAGGGGGGAAAAATCTGCCTTTGATCTGTGAGGACTTTTGAGCAGTGAGTGCAGTCCAGCTTGTCCTTCCTGATGTTGTCAGTCCTCAGAACTTCCCAACTGTTTCCTTGCTACCTTCCCACTCATTGCACTACTGTAAATAATCCAAATTAGTTTTTCTTTCACTCACTGTCCTCACACCATCTAGTTAAAAGCTATCCAGTTGACACTAGTATTGTAATCAGAGTTACCAGAGACAAAGGCCTGGTAGCTCTAGTGAGTCCTAGGATCAAACTACATCTGACTTAGAGGTATACAGTGGTACCTCGGTTCACAAACTTAATTCATTCCAGGATTCTGGTTGCGATCCAAATTGGTCGTGAACCAAGTCAAATTTCCCCATAAGGCTCAATGTAAATAAGGTTAATCCGTTCTGAACCATAATTTTACGTTATACATAAAGGAGGGCATATAAAAGTTTTAAATAAATATGGTGTTGTTTTTTTAAACCGCAAAAATATGAACTATGTCCCCAGGCTGCAGACCAAGCTGCGGTTGCCTCGCTGAGCCCGGGGGCGGACGGACCGAGGCAGAGCTGGAGCAGGGACATGGCTCCCGTGCCTCCCCCACGGCCTTCTCAGAGCAAGCCGCCGCCAAGGAGCGGCCATCATGATTCTTCCCCCTGCAGTGGGGAGAGGTGGGAAGCACCCCGCTCAGCCAGCCACAGCCCCGGCCCCGTCCCTTGCCTCCTCTCAGCTAGGAAAGCACCCTTACCTCCCTCCTCGCGGCCCTCTTCCAGCTAGGGGAGCCATCCCGCGCCCACTTCTCTGGCCTCCCGCTCCTGCTCCCCATCCCATAGCTAGGCGAATGCCTGCAAGGGGACCTTCCTCCGGCTTGGAAGCGGGGTGGTGGTGAGGAGCGGGGAGGGCCTCGACCAAGGCGAGCGTGCCCTTATGGCTCCCCCTCATGGTGGGTGGGGAGAAGGTTATTGTTTGGAGTGTTCGCCCAGAGAAGATGGCCGCATTTGCGATCGTGTTCGTGTAGAAACATGGCTGCGATCATGATCGTCACCCGAAGCGGAGTTTGTGAACAGAGACAAAATTTTTCCGACATTTTTGTTCATGAACCGATTTGGACGTGAACTGAAGCGTTCGTGAACCAAGGTACCACTGTATCAGCTTTTCACAAAGTTAGTGGAAGACATGGGGATATTGGGATATTTGTTATTTCCCCCTTCTCAGCAGTAATCCCAATGAAACTCCACCCCACTGCATCCCATCTAATAGTACATGTGTTAAAACCTTAATATGTTTTCAGGTGATGCATTAGTTTTGCCCCTTGTCAGTGTTAACTGACTGGGAGGCTTTGCCTTCTCCCTGAATATTGACATGTATAGAGATACTGTCTGACTGGGCAAAATAAAAATATTGGGCAAACCTGCATAACTTATTTTCCTACACAGGAATGATAATTGCCTTTCTGAAAGCACATAGGCTAAATTGAAGCAACACTAAATGTTCCTTGGGCAATTATTTTGTTCTGAGGTAAATGCAAGGTGTCATTCAGTTTCCAAGAAATAACATTTACTTTGCCAGAAAGCATGTCATCCTTGCAACCTGCTGTATTTACACACCTTCCAGCTTCTGAAGTAAACAAAAGAATGCTGAACCAATAAACCTCTTTCTTGTGTGGCTTGATGGGCTTACTGACTACTTTCCACCTTTCCACCCAGCAAAGCAGGCTCCAGCTGGGAAAAAAAAACAGCACATGATGCATAGGGAAGACAAGAATGAAAGTACAAAGGGGTATGAATTTATATTCACTGACAGACTCAGATTTGCTGTTTTCACTCTGATTTGGCATGAATGGAATCCTCTCAGTAACTGTGTTGTCACTTTATGTACATTACTCTATGTGCCTATTGTAAGATCGCTGCTGGGGTACTTTAAGCTGCTGCTGTGATTCTTACTGTTAGCGTCTACACTGCTTGTAATAAGTGCCTGTGTTTTTTTCTTTGATTCCTAGAAAAAGCTTAGAAGGCTACTTAAGTATATGTTTTTTCGAGACTACAAATCTAAAGTTGTCAAAGGAATTGAAGAAGATGATCTTCCTGAAGGTAGAAAAACTACTAGATAAATTGCCTTTCTATGGGGAATATTCAACATATGTAGTGTATATACCAAATAAAAAAATATATTCCTCATGTAGATAGCTTTAGACATCCAAAAATATTTACTTAGTTGGGAACTCTATTTAACCTTGTGCTTTTCCGTTCAGATTACTTATGAAAGTGCAGCATGTCAGTCCGGCAACCAAATGATAGGTAGAGCTGCTTAATGTCAAGAGCAGTGTGGAACTGAGGAACTGGTGCTGATTAAAAGACTTAATTGATTTCAGCATGTGCAATTTACATGCAGCAGGCCACATCTGCAAGGGGGTGGGGGGAGGTGCTTGGCCTCAAAATTCATTTGAATAGGCATTTTCTTAATTTATTATCAAAGAACCTGGCACATTTTATGAAGCAGCCCTAATCTAAACTTACTTAATTCTGATATACAGCTAGGAGGTGTTGCAAATCTTAAGCAGCTGGTATATGTTGAAAACACTTTTATTTCCCCTTTTTTGGTGACCTGGTTGTCACATGTACAATCCCTGGACTTGCCTTCAGTAACTGCAGGTAGTGCAACCACCTTAAATTTCCAATTGATCACTTTGCCTTGCTCCTCACAGAAAGGGAGATAACATGTTAGGAGGAGATGTTAGATTTTTTCTTCATCCATATTTAGTATATGAAATTATTTTTCTTTGCTAATAAAGATTTTAATTGGAAAATGGAGCCAATGATAGGCTTTCTTTGTGGTATAGGCATATGCAAGGTTAATGAGGCTCTGTAGCAAGATTTATTTGAGTTTACGTGTCCTTTCTTTAAAAGGCTTTTATAGCACTGTTTTTCAGACTATGCCTATGTCCTATTTGCAAGGAAGACACAGTAAAGTTCCATGGCCTCAGTGTCTCCATATTTGTGGGTCAGGAGAGCTGGAAGATATCTGTCATTATATGTTGTACCCATTGCATAGGCTATTATTCGATGCATCACCCACTTTATAGAAAAGAAATTTTCTTGCCCCAAGATACCAGATGTTGAGAAAATGTGCTTTCTTTAGACAGAGGAGAAGAAATATGATACATATCAAATTTTGGTATTTGTAGTAGCTGCCTTTTAAAATAACAGCAACAGTAACATTTATGTAGATCCATGCCAGAAATTGTCTCACCTCATGGTGAATTACATCTTGTATCACATGATATTTTGTAAACATGCCAGTAGTCAGCAATATTATAGTTTTATGCAGGTTTAAATTCTTATCTTCACCAATGTGTTATTAAACCATATTTTAACAATGCACATTTTAACATGACTTATAGAGATATGCAGAGCACTGTTTTTAAACCATCATTCTTACTTCAAAGCTTGCCTGTTGCCTTTACACATATATGTAACCTGTACGTTCAAATAGGATTTCTTGCATCCCAAGAAAAATACTTTTGGGTTGAATTCAGGGTGTTATTCCATTACCAGATGCATCACTTGAGTGATGCCCAAAACTTTCCTGCCAGAAGAAGGAGGAACAGGGCAAGGGATGGCATCAGTTTTCATAGATTATGCACTCATCCCGCACAGAGACTATGGGAATCTGCACAGAAATTGCTGCTTCTTTCATTCCACCAACAGGATTCCTCATCTTGATCAGAAGCCCCCTGCAGATGGAGAAAGCCTTGCATCCAGAGGAGGCAATATTTTGGATCCTGCCCTTTGTATTTAGTCAACAGCTGGACCAAAATAAGATTGTTTATCTCTTCAATTTCTTTCAGACAGACTCAGCAGCACCACCAACAAACGCCAGAAAATTGCTCAAGACTTCCTTATCTCTGTTGATCAGACTGGGGAACTCTTGGCCTTATTTGAAGATGATGAAATTGATGACGTAAAACAAGAGAGGATGGAGGTAAATTCTGGACCTTTCCCATTCTGTAGGAAAAGGCAAAGCAGCAGCTATTTCTGCATCCATTTTCACTGTTTGTTCCTTTAAGGAAAGAAACTTAGGCAGCAATCTTATACCCCATTATCTGGGGACAAGTCCCACTGAACTCAGTAGGACTCACTTCTGAGCAGATTTGCATTGGTTTGCACTATAACTCACTTTCTAGCTGCCAGAGAGCAGCCTTCCAACTTTTCTATAAATATTTATCTTTGAATGTGACAAAGGTGTCCCTGTATGTGGCTTTTCCTTCACTGCATGGAGATAAATAGCTACATCTGCAAAATAAAACCTTCTGGCAAACAGCCATATGTTTAATAGAGTGCTATCTTCATTCATGCAGCTCTCCAAGGCTCCAGGCATGTATGTATGCTCACATGTGCAACAGCCTTTCCCTCCCCTTTGGGAAGTGATTGTCAAGATCTTCATCACATAACATTTCCTCTCCATAATAAGGCTTAAAAAAAAAAAAAAAAGAACAGTAGCATAATAAAGATGTTTATCAATACCAAGTCACCTTGGTTATCTCGCACTATGCTTTCTAGGTTATAGCGGTAACTTTGCTGTTTCCTACATTATTTCCTTAATTGGGCTTTGACTACCTAAAACTAAAAAAAGAAAAACCCACCCTATTTAGCACATGCCTCTCCTGCTTCCTCTGTTTTCGTGTGACCGAGGCTCTGTGGGGGAATGTCAAGCTGCTCTGATTCTCTGCTAGCAAGAAGCCCTGCAGTAGGCTCAAGGAAGCATCTGTTCTGGAGCAGGCCATGCTTTCGAATACAGCTGGAATTTTCTACTGCAGACTTAAAGATGGCAGTCTATTACCCAGAGTCAAACTACATATCTCTTAAAACATCCCATCGTTTAGCAGCTTCTACCACCTCCTGAATTGATGGGGTAATGGTGATTGTATATGGGAGATCTCAGTAGGGCACAGAGTCAGTCCACTGACCATGTGCCATCTCTGCCTACTCCATTTCTTTAAAGGGTATCGAATACCCTTTTAGAAGCTTAACTGGAAATGAAGGCAATAGTAGAATAAGATCAGAACATGTGACTTAACAATAAATACACACACCCCTACTGATCAGAGTACCTAGTCAACTCTGCAACCCATTAATCAAATAAACTTTACTGGCAGAATATGCAAGGCCTCATATTCATTATCTGAGGGCTCATAGGATAGTTCGGATTCCTGACTCTCCAGGTTGGAGCTAGTGCTCTGACCTCAGAACTGGGAATTGGAATGTAACCCAGCAGAAAGACCTGTGCCAGTGGCTCTCTGTGGGCAGAAAAGCAGCCTCAGAAGGATTAAAGGCAGTGGGCAAGGACTGGGGTGGCCTCTTCTCCTCTGCCTCCAAAAGGTGGTTGCTAGATGGAAGTTTCCATGCTACTCCTTCCTTTTTGTACTGGATGAGTGCAAGATGAAGGATTGCACTGCACAGCAGTGGAATGCAATGGACCAAAAGGCCTAAGAGAATAACATCCTCCTGGTGCCTGTTGTCAGAAGGATAACAAAGCAGGCACTAGGAGACCCTCTCTGTGGAGGGTGTTCTGTCCCTGCGGGGTTGCTGCCGAAAAGGCCTGCTTCTGGGTAGCCACTCAGCATACCTACTGTGGCTTGCAGCATTTGACACTCTCCATGTTCCATCTGCCCCCATGCAGCAACAGCACTGGGCATGACTAACCAGGGTCTCGCTTAGCTAGGTTTGCCAACTCTGTTCAAACACAGAGCTGGGTTGTTTAAAGAAGAGAAGAGATTTGCACCAGTTTGCATATGTGGTCTGCACAATTAAAAGGGAAGATTTAGTAAAGCAAGCCTATTTTGTTATATTTAAAATTGACCAGAAAATGGGGAAAGTACATTTTAGTTTCTCAGAGTTGCTTGATCACCATATTTTTTTTTCTTATTGAGCTTTTCTTAAAAAATAAATACCTTTGTCCTGGACTTTAGAAACAGTGCAGGAAATAGGTTCCATTCCCTAAAAGAAGGTGGTAGTTAGTATATAAAAGTATAGAATATCTTATTTGCCATGTTTAGTAGAGTATGGTTTCTGCATGCTACATTTTGGAGGAAGTCCAGTGTGCTCTTTAAAATCTTTAACAACCTCCTTTAAAGAATTAGTGTACTTAAATCATGAACTGTGATCTAAAGGCTATGTTCTTTTTAGGTATCAATTACTTCAGAAATGTGTGGTTATCTTGGTTTGGCC